CGAACTGAAAAAATATCGAAAACGACAATAAATATCACAAACGACAAAAAAAAATCGCAAACGACAAAAAATATCGAAGGCGACAAAAAAATATCGAACTGAAAAAATATCGAAAACGACAATAAATATCGCAAACGACAAAAAAAATAGCAAACGACAAAAAATATCGCAAACGACAAAAAATATCGAAAACAACAAAAAATATCGAAAACAACAAAAAATATCGAAAACGACAAAAAAAATAGCGAAAACGACAAAAAATATCGAAAACGACAAAAAAATATCGAAAACAACAAAAAATATCGAAAACAACAAAAAAAATCTAAAACGACAAAAAATATCGAAAATGACAAAAAACATCGAAATCGACAAAAAATATCGAAAACGACAAAAAATATCGAAAACGACAAAAAATATCGACAACTACAAAAAATATCGAGAAGGACAAAAAATATATCGAAAACGACAAAAAATATCGAAAACGACAAAAAATATCGAAAAAAACAAAAAAAAATATCAAAAAAAACAAAAAATATAGAAAACGACATTAATATCAAAAGCGACAAAAAAATATCGAAAACAAAAAGTATCGAAAACAAAAAATATATATCGAAAACGTTACAAAATATCGAAAATGACACAAGAATATCGAAAACGTCAAAAAAATATCGAAAACTAAAAAAATATCGAAAACTAAAAAAATATCGAAAAGTAAAAAAAATCGAAAACTAAAAAAAATATCGAAAACGACAAAAATATCGAAAACAAGAAATATACAAAGAATGAGGAAAAGCGTGGAAAACTGCAGAAAATTTACTAAAGCGACTCAGCAAACTCGAAATAATGAACGAAAAACGATAACACGAATAAAAATACATATACATATATGACAAAGAAATAAAATGCGTAAAAATTGCCAATTCATGAAGGACAGCAACAAAAAACTAAAGCGACAATGCCAACAGATATCACAAAGCAATAAATAAAAGAAAAGCCACAGCCTGTAATACATATTGCGTGCGACATAAGCGCGGAAGGAAAATCCACACGCCAACAGGGGATAGATATAGCATGGGCAAAAAGTTCCAGCGAAAACTAATAAAACGAAATAAGAAGGAAAAAAAATTGCGAGCAGCTAAAATTACATAAGAAAAAAATACCAATAGCAAAAATAAATGCATATTAAAAAAGGAGGATGAAAAAATTTCCATAATACGAAACACCGGAAAAAATACGCACACTACAGCAAGAAGAAGAAAAAAACCGCATCGCTGTGGGACGAGCCAAGGGAAAGGACGATGAAATAAAATTTATGAATAAAATGTAAATAAATGCGCGCTGAGGCAAAGTTACAGCCAACGGCAAGAGCACGTATAACAACACCAACAGCAGCAGCAGCAGCAGCAGCAAAAACAACAAAAGTGTTGCAATAAAAGCCCATCAAAGTAATAGAACACAGAGCAAAGCGTGCATAGCAACATCCACCAAACCAACTTGACGCATCAGCCGAGAAAAAAAATCAACACAGCACAGCAGACAGGCAGCTAGCTGCCGCCAACAAAACTAATCATCGTCATCAACATTATCCACATGCAATGTAACATCATCAGCAACAGCATTTCGCAACACACAAGCATTGTCAACGCGCCACCACCCTCTTCGGCGCTATTTGGCACACATGCATACATACACCCCGCATTTAGCCGCAGCCTTCGCAAAAGGCAATCAGGCAGTCAGGCAGTCAGGCCCCACCAAGCCGACATCAGCATTGCCTGCTGACTAACTAACTGTAATATCCTGGCAGGGGCGCAACAACAGTGCCGCGGTGGCAATGTGCTGGCGGCAGCGGTGCGGCTTCAAAGGTAAAAATAATAGAATGTGTAAAACTAAAGTGACGGCAGGCAGCAAAACATAAAAGTAAATGACATGTAATGAAAAACGAACCAGATGCATTGTTCTTTTTCGTTTTTGCTTTTGTTTTTGTTTCTGCACGCCGTACGCCCACTTCAGTTGGGCATTACTGTCATTACCGTCAAGAGGCGGCAACTTCCATTTTTAACAAGCAAAAAGTTCGCCTTTTCCGTTGGTAGTTTTCCGTACTTTCGCCCGTTGCCTTCATTTCAAATTTTTCCATTTTGAATGAACTACACACTTTGTCACATTTTTTGTCGGTTTTTAATTTCTTCGATTAATGTGGCGCATAAAAAGCGTATGTACTAAGTATATGTACATACCAATATGTATACGTAATAAATGGAAAAACTGTCATATAAAAACGTACAAATGAAAATGAGTATGAAAAACTAAAATAATCGTAGAAAAAAACGCGTAACACCACCACCCTGTTTTCTTCGCTACACAGCAGCAGCACAATCAGCAACCAGCGGCAAATAAGTACATACATA